AAATGTCGGATAAATCCCCGGAAAAGACAGCTCTTGAGGGGCTCTATGAAAAAGATTCCATTGGTCCTTCTGATATCTTCAACCGTGTGCGAGCTCTAAACGAAAATGCCTTAATTGCATCAACTTTTGCCTCTATCGCCGTATAGGATAGAAATTTGACCTCAACTATGAAGAAAAAGTATAGCTTTCGAACCGCCCAATTAAAACGGTTCTCAGGGTTGTTTAACGCGACCACCGCGAAAAATTGACAAATTTGCTTCTACCTTTTTAAAGACTGGGAATTTCTGGTAAAGCCAAAACAGGAAAAAGAGCGCTTGAGACGCTCTATCGAAAAGGTTCCAATGATCCTTCTGATAGTTTCAACCGTTGGCGAGATACAAGTGAAAATTCCCAAAAAATCAACTTTTGCCTCAACCCTCAATCAAAACCGTTGTCATGCCGTTTGGTAGCTTTGGAAAACCGAGTTAAACAGCCAAAAAAAAAGGAAGAAAACAAACCAAATTTGAATAATTATTCGAAAAACTTAACACTCTCTAAACCTGACTCTTGGGCTTTGCGAAATAATTCAACACTAACCGAGCCATAATTTCGAAGAGCGGCAGCTGGCCACCAAAGCGTCAATCAAAGCAATTTAAAGTGGTCTATTATAAGGCTAAAAGCAAATTTTAATACGATAAATGCCTACACTTTGGGCGCGTTGTTTGCAAAATATTCCAAAGCAATCCAGGCAACAATGGCCTTTCTACACAATAAAACCATTGCCGTTTTATCAGATTAGAATGGAGCGAATTCACAAACATTTGCACAACAATTTTGGGAAATTATCTGGCGAGGAGATCTTGATGTTTGATTTAAGGGCTGCCACTAACAAATATTTACTTTCGAACGTTTACAAGGAGGATTTTCCATTATTCGCGCTAGTTGATTTAAAAAAGTTGCTGCTGGGACAATGATGTTTTGCAATTAATCTGAAATTTTTGCAGCAGCTTGTGCCATACAAAATACATGTCTTCTCAATGTCCCAAGTGATTGGAAATCTTGCTGACATTTGAATGACCAACAGTGAAAGCATTGCAAACTTCTACCCCCGATTCTTCAATTTTCAATCATCTTCATCCTCATTGAATGTTTACTCACGTGTCCCCTTGTGCATGTTTGCTGCTATAGGAAATCCAATATTATAATCCGAACAATCGCATGGAAGCAATGAAGCAAAAAATAAATACACAATTTCAAAATGCCCGAGAAATCGAAAAATATCCGCGTATACGATATGGTATCCAATTTCTTACGCTTGGATAAGTGTTTTAGAAATAATTCCCTCAACAAACGGATCATCTAATCTTCTGTTGGGTCGCAACATTACCTTAAGCCCGGCCGAATATTACACAAAATATTATGTTACACGAAAATACACGGTTACGGGGGGCCTTTTGTGATGATTTTTAGATAAACATGTGTCATCTGCTAGTTTAGGAAATGTCAAAAATATTCGATAAGACGCACTCGACCGTCTTTAAGTCCCTTTTTCGTACCGAATAGACTAGACGAGTGTGTGCTTAAATCAGGTAGAAAATATTTCATGTAGATGGACGGAGATATGAATTGGAATATTGCGGGATCAAGGAATTGCTTAATATGCTCCTAAACCCAAAGGGTTCGACTTGACGCATTACAAGAAAATGATTTGCACATTGATTCTAATCGATTTTCCAGCAAATGGCTGCTTCAGGTGGGTTTTTAACGTGATTATGAGCAGACGTAAAAAAGGGCACACAAGCATGGAAAACAAACCGGCATGAAACACCATTATCTGCGCCTTTTAATCCCTGAAAACGCTGGAAACATCGGTCGCTAAACTCCGGTTAACCGTGAACCAAATAATGGGGCGTAATCCGCGATAGTATCTTGGGATAGATTCGGTTCAATAAAAGATTCCCATTGTAGCCGTCGGGCTAAAAAGAAACGTCCATGCTGGCTAAATAGGCAAATCATTTCATGGTAGTCTTCACACGGATAATGAGGGATTATCTCATTGAATGGATCTACGGGTTGTTAAAGTAGCTTGCTGCGTCTAAAAGCCGAGTAAGATGTGTAAATATTGGGGAATTATCCATTTAGGTTGATTCTGTTTGGACTTGGACAGACAATCTGTTTATTTTCAATTCCCACCTAGGAAATGCCGGGTACCTATTATATTTGCCCAATTTCAAGCCCTCAATCACCAAGCAAAATAATCGAATAACTGGACTTTTCACATTTAGAAATGTTTTCCGGGCTTTACTCACCAAGGCATTATCAATTTTGATCTATAATTAGCGCCAGCATACATCTATCAGTAGCCAATTAAATAAAAAGCGGAAATCCATCTGCAAAGTAAATTACGATAAACAGATTTAGCCTTAACGAGCGCCAACAAACATAGACAGTTATTCGAAATTTACTAGCGTGCTAAACGACTTTCAGGCCGATGTCACCCTTGTACTCGCTCCCCTAAAGGTCACGCCACATAAAAAAATCAAAGGAACCATCGTTATCCTATACGTAACTTCCCCGATAGGTACGTCACAAATTTGCTTCGATCCGCCCACTTCCCTTCAAGTCGCTTCCTTTGCAATTTAATGATCCTAAAACTAACGAACAAATATCGGTAAAACGTCCGACCTATTTCACTTTTCGACTTTTGAATGCCTACTTTGGTTTTCGACGATTTTCGAGTATCAAAAGGACCCCAAAGAAAAGACGGGCAAGCCTAAAGGTTTGACAAAGGCTGGAAGAAGGCAGAACGATTGATAATGAAACTTTTACACTCCAATGTAGGGTCGGTGTGGTTTTCAAAATTTTCTGAATATGTTTTCTTTGCCACTACAGCTTTTGGTGTTAAATATATGTAAAGAAATCCATTCAATTTCAGTTATGACGATAATAAATTATGGCTTTTAGGAGTCACGGTTTTGTCAACACGTGTGTGACGGTTAAAGAACCAAGAAGCTGCCTTCCCCTCGAATCAAACCCATCGTGAATGAACGATTTTCGAATTGCTTCTATAACGCCACATTCATTTATGAGGGCCGGGATTTATTCAACTTATAATAGAGGTCCTAATGCGATTCCTCAATGCCATCCACCATCTTCTGTAGACGACAAAAGCAAAAAATCTACCTCAATTAATAGATCAACAATCCTCACAATTCGTCCATGTGAAATATCAACAGTGACTGTTCGGAGTTTTTTCTCCTAAGCGCTTCCTTCGTATCTTTCATCTACTGAAATATCCCGACCCATTACTGGTTAGTGTTTATTGGGCTTTGAACACCATAAATATATCATAAGTCACCGTTAAATTATCGGCCTACCAAAGAGCCTTTTCACATCGATGATAGACACAAAATGTGCAAAAATAACGGGCGAATTTGTTTTAGTGGCCCCATTTCTGTTCCGATAAAATGAACTTCCGTCAGATGGTCTTTTTAATCGTTTGAAGATACAGTTCGACAAGAAAAATGCGACTTCGGTTAATGTTTTGCTTGGGGATCTTATCTAGAGTCTAGAGGCGAACATTACAAGTGGGATGTTTTAAGGTTGCACCCAAGAAAATTTGTTGGGTAGCCAGATAATTTCAAGATAACAATGAGTTTGACTAGCGAGTCGCATTAGCAAAAAATGGGTCTCATGGATGAAAATGGAGTAATTGCTAGAAGTACAAAGTAAAAGCGCTAGAGTCCTTTGAAGCAAAAGGTAGAAAAAGGAACATTTGCTTCGTTTCTATTGCATATCTTTCTATTTAAATAATCCGGTGATCTTTTCAGTTTCCACGCGCCTTCTGTAACGTTTTTCGACTCTTAGATCATTCGGAACCCCATAATTACTATCCTGTCTATTGTTACTTCTAGTTCTGCCAGTATTATGCAAGTATTAGCAGAAATAAACAATTGACGCATTCAAACGTGAAAATCAACTTGTGGCTCTGAAATTTGCTCTAAACTGAAAGCCCGGCAGCTTCTAGAGTTTACAAATGATTTTATTGCCCTCCACCGCAAGTAGTAAAAAGCTCATTCATTAGACGGAGTGCTCCATTAGTTCGTCGAAGCACAGCTAATAATCGTTGACAAACGGATGTTAACACTTCAGAACGATCATCCGGTAAAAAGGATATGAGCTTTTTAAGGACCCATCCTAGCACTCCACTTATGCCAAAGTAATTTTCAGTTAATGTACATGCGGCTTTAAGATAGTCGTCGCTTCACGTACAATCTGTGTCTTCGGCTCGAAGTGATTTGCTAAGTGGTTATATCCAACGTGAAGTGTTTAACACATGCGGAGTGTTACCAGGATTGATAATATTAATTGGCTGGCATGCATTGCATTATTGGGGAAGAAGAGCTCTTAGATGCGGACAATTCGCTTCGTCTACTAACACTTTAAAGCTGGGAGCCATTCGAATAACTGGTCGTCAAGAAGCCGTATCCAACAATGTCATTTGCCCTTAAAATTCTAGAAATGTTCTCGAATAATTTAATGAGGAAATTAAGTTTATGGTTGCGGTAATGCGAAGCGCAAGAAATTGATTGGCTAAAAAAAATTCCTACGCCTCAAAACCAATGTCTTCAGAAGACCCCTGAAAAGCAATTGAAGAAACTAACCAACAACCCACATATATAAAATGAGACAAATTAAGGCTTGCAGCGCCACCTACTGCCCTCACGTTTCACCCCAACCCGCAATGTTAAGGGCTGTTTTCCCTTGACTGATTACCCGAAGGTTTGGCTTTGATTAATACATCAGGCCCTTGTTTACCGGCCAATTAGGTAGGTAGTTAACAAGAGCAGGGGTGAATAAATTAATGGAGTTGGGGACCAATCAGGTGGAGTAAAACGCCGCTATTGGTTGAATTCAACACGGGTAAAGATTAATTGGATCTTGAGGTCAAAATAAGGGGCGGTTTATGGGTAACCTTTTTTTAACCACTGCAATCAGTTGAGAAAAGCAAAAGTCTCACAGTTTTTAAAAGTCATTTATTTTCAAAACGCTACAATGATTACAAACTTAAATCTACAAATACCAAACGATTATAAACCTAAACCTAGTGAAAGATCATGGGAGTGAATCACCTAAAGCTACAAAAAAACACACACAAACCTAATGCAAATCCTACTTTTTACAACTTATAGTAACAGAGAAAAGTAAACAAACACAACAACGAAATCATTTTGTTAAGCTGATATCACAGAAAATATACATAAAATAATAAGAAAAGCTGTACGTAAACCTATCACAAAACTTTATGAGCACTTTTAAAGTTACATACATAGAGGTGCTGGAAAAGTGCTGGGTCTAATTATACGGTGCAGTAAAGTGCGCGAGATTTTAAGCCTAATTTAACGCATTTATGTACAAATTGATTGACACTGTTCGGCCTATATGTTTTAAGTACACTTACAGTAATACACATCTTCATTTATACTCCTTAAAACTATTAAAGCTTCAGCAATTGCGATCAACTTTCCAAATTGGATAGTCATTGATTGATTACCTATCATATACCTACCTAAGTCGAGAACATGAAGAGCCCAATTTTGTGATCTTAAATATTTCTATTTAAAATGCAGGAATCAAGTAAATGAATTACAAATTTGTGGCAAAAATGTTTCGAGACCCAAAAATGGGCGCATCATGTCCGGAAAAATTAAAGCTTGAGCAAATTAAAAGGTGTCTGATAATGTACACAAATCAGAAAAAGACTTATTGCACTTGGCCTACAATATCACAAGTATCTCGATCACATTTAGATACTTTTGCTCCAGTTCAGAAAAATCACATAATATCACATACTCTATCATTTTGTTATCACATTTATTGCACGAGACCTGAAGCGAAAGCCATTCAGGGTTCCGCTTGAAGAGCGGTTTGAAACAACCAAAAGAGGAAGCTGATTGCACGATTTCCAAAAACAGTTTTTAATCGAAACCTAAATTGCACCCGAAAATAAGAATTTAACCTTTGAATTGCACGTTAGAAAATCAATAAACTTAACATTGCACAGGCTGAATCTTAAAATGTAGAATTGCACGAAGCAGCTCAGCTTAGCAAACAATTAGTTGATGATGGAAAAAAATTATATTTAAAAACTAAAATTACATACCGCAAATGTACAAGAGGTCGAAGACTCAGTTTTGTCCACGAACCAAATTTTCATAAGTTTCATACCGGTTGCAATGGAGCGTCTCCATTGCTCAACTCGGCAAACTTTGACCAATTGATGTTCAGGTTTACTCTAGGTGTTGATGTGATCCATCTTGGAAGCCTTGGTCTGATTACCTTCAATTAATAAATCACTGTTAGCGTTTACCAAGTTGCAAAAAATCATCATCAGGCCTGAACTTACCTCCCCAATCGGAAGAATTCGTCGGAAGGGTGGCCTTGGGGTTTGACTCATCTTGGAACTGGTTTGTTTATAACACATGATTAGTGACGAAAGACCGAACCAGCTGATTGATGACGCAGCCTGAGGTTGTGCCAGCACGAGTTTAGCGCAATCGTACTTCACACCAGTACCACGCTTGACGATGGTTCAGTGGATATGACGAAACCGAACCGAAACCCAAAGCTTTTTATAGAGCGAGCTTTACCTGTCTTTGGCGCATGCTTTGGTGCCCTGATGCCAAGTTGGAAGATCCGGCTTTTATGTGAAGGAAAGCTTCAAAATTTTGGAAGCATTTTGGCTTGATGTTGGGCCGCCAAGAGCAATTTGGACGTGGCTCTTGGTTGGCTTAGATGGCTGGTCGACACCCCAAGCCCCCCAGACTAAAGATTGGGTTTGAGGAATAATTTTTATGGGTTCCAATGGTATGGGGTATGGTTGGCTGGGTAAAGGCGGCAACGTGGCCAGAGGTTTAGCGCGAGCTCCACACGCGACCAACTCGTGAGTCGTGAGGTGCGATGGTTTCCTTCTCTTTCGCTCTTATTGGCTACCGTGTTTACCTGTGAGACCGTGCGCTTTAGCTTTTTTCCTTTTGGGATGCTGCGGGCTGTAACGAACTTTGGCGCATCGTCGTCTGTCCTTTTTTTGCTTTTGCCTTTTATGGCCTCGAATACTCCTCTGTCCATATAAGAAATTGGGCAGAGGCACTTTGTCCGAGGGAATTTCTTGCTTGGTGTTGCGACTTTTTTCGATATAAATTCGTGCGTGTATTTTCTGATTTTTTTCAATGGGACAACGTAAGATCAATTTGTCTCCAATGTGCTAATGGAGATTCATTTTCTGGTTGGAATATTTCAAAAGAAACGTTGTAGTGGGGCGAAAACCTGCAATTTACTACTAACGTTTGGACAGTTTGAAAAAATCGGGGTTTTAATGAAGATTTTTGCATTTACAGGTTCAAGTCCCTCGTTCCATTGTCTCGATTGCTAGTCTCAAATATGTAAAAACAACGCTTGTATTTGTGTGAAAACTACACATTTTTGACTTCCAAAAACAAAAACAACATTTTAGATCAAGTTTTGAAAGTATAAGAATTTTCGAGCCAAAAATGTGCTTCTTCAATTTAATATTTCCTGATGAGAACCCAGAAAATCAAATAAACGACTTTTGCCGACCCTCCTCAGGTTGGCGGCACCTGAGCAGCCCTGCATAAACCCCGTCGATTGACGAAAATAATAACCATCCACCCTTCCTATATAAAATTATGTGCCACCCTCTTGTTTCTCCCCATGTGGGCATTCGAGCCCTACATCGAAAACAGGTGAACTACCTGCCCAAAAATCCCAAAATCCCTGTTGCTTGTTTGTAGGGTGTGTGCGGAAGACAGGGAGTTTAATGTGATCGATGCCTGGCTGGGTTAAATGATAAGTTCCTTACTTTTGAACAGTCAAGGTTCTTTGCTGTTGGGTGGAAAAGTCTGTTAGAATCAGGGGAAATATGCAGAATTAAGCAAATTCAGTTAATATTGCGGTTGGTCATAAAACACGTAATTATTCAGAAATTAGCAAATCAATTCCAGTTACTGTGGACCGGTAGAACAAACACAAAACGTCTTTCCCACGAGCACAAAGCGAAAAATCGACCACACCCCACACCCAATATTTTCACATTGTCGCACTAATAACTATATTAAACATGAATTATGACACGCTTATTAGTAGCCAATTACCATTTTACACAAGGCAAATAAAAGGGCTCTAACCCGGCAATTACGAGTGGTTTCCTTTTGTCACCGGAAGTAAACAGTTTTTACTGTTTAACTAGTTGGTTAGTAGGATTAAAATGATATGTTGTCGACTACAAAGGGTGAACATGAATGAACAAACCGGGGAATGAGCTGAGGATTAATTGCTGCTTGCCATTTAGCCAGCAGGTGCCAGAAAAGGTAAAATGTAATTTGTTTAATCACCTAGATCTAAAGGAAAGGGGCGAAATCAAAGCTCCAATTATACAAACTTTGCTTTGCATTTTAATTAATATAATATTAATAATATTAAAGATGATTTCGGTTAAAAATGCAGTTTAAGAGCCAAGTCTCGACCATCGGCAATGTAAACAACCATCAATTAAATCGAGTAGAATTTCCAGCAGTAAACGAACAATGTCTTGCAGGAAAAAATGCTACGAAAGATCCGATCCAGTTCATGAATAAAATATGGCCCGTTGAAAATGAATGCTGGTGGCAAGCGCGTTTTATTTTATTTTTTCTTTATCATCCCAACCTTTTCAATTGATGATTTTTCTGTTGAAGTACCGTAAGCATTTTGTAGACGGGCAGAAGCAAGTGCAGAATTTTAATGCATTTGGCGCTGCGATCGGGTTCAGGGACATCAAATTATTGTCCTGCTGATGGGGTTTCGCCTAATTTCCACAACGGTACCGAGTAATTACTGCAGCATCCGACTTGTGCAGGATGTGAGCCGACCATTATATTTAAGTTTGAGTAGGTTTTTACGTTTCGGAGGGCAGTTATCGTAAAACGAACGTGGCCCTAAATTAAAGCCGACCAGCCATTGGCTTAATCGCGAATTATCTTGGCCAATACCTATTATTTTAAAGCGGTACCGAAGAACTGTTCAAATGTCAAAAGACCAGTAGCTGCGAGCTAAGTGCTCAAATATTATACGCTCTCGATGTATTGACTTAACTTGGGTAAATTGCCTTCGAGCTATCAGGGTATTCCACTACACCGAGAAAACTACTGGGTTTTTGGTGTAGAATTCGATCTGTTGGGGTCGTCAGAAAAATAAATCTAGCTTTCGAAATATGTGTCTTTTCTTCTTCAGGTAGTCCTAAAGTTGACGTTCCAAGTGGAATTTAAATATTTTGGATCGATCTGCTGTGGTCCTCAGAAAAACCCTCAGATTCAAATAGCAAGCCTCTTTCTTCAGCTTGTCCTGAAGACGGGAATACATTCCGAAAGCTGGGTAATTGATTAACATTTTTCTTCTAAGGCCCAAAATATGTTCCTCTGTTCAGTTTAGTCCGCAAAAATTGACCAGCAAAAAACAATACACTTAGGAATTCTTTTCTGGAGACCCTCTTGGATCATTCCCTCAAATCTACGTGTTCTGTTAATAATCTTCGATGAAGACTTTCATCTGAACTGATCAGTTCTTTTCGTGTACACACACATGATCGGTCAGGCCTCAGCCACCTAAAATCGGCGTGCTTCCCTTCATGAGGCCGAAAACGGGACGAAGATAAAAACTGAAGATAATGGAAGACGAATGAATGTTTTTCGTAACGGTAGTGCCGTGCTGAATCGAACCTGATTGTTTTAAATTCGATTTTAATGCCGCCGGTATAGGATCAATAATTCACAATTTGCGATAGCGATAAGCAGCGTAATTGCGGGCTTTAAAAGGTGAATGTGTTACGGGGCAGATTGCGAGATAGTTGAACCACTTGCAGATGCTCTACATTGAGATGCTGCATGTACCGCAGTTACTCTTCGTTACTCGAGGAGAACCCAGGGAACCAATACCGAATGATTTGATTACTTCAAATATTGATTTTGCGATCTGGTATTAGGAAATTTTGAGGAAACATTGGCCGATGAAAGTGCGACTTTCTTTTACATTGAGTAGTTTAAGCATATCTGAGTTAATAGTAATAAAAATAAAATAAAATAAAATAAAATGATCCCCAATCCAGAAATCTGCTATCAAAGAATAGGGTTCGACCGGTTGTTGCTCCGCAACAACAGTGTTCTTATTGGGGGCCTCCGCGATTAGCGGATCTTACACCACCCGATTTTTTACGCCTTTTTGAAGTTTTTGGGCTTCGACTGTAAGAAAATTTTGAGGATTTATTTCTCTAAATAAACCTTTTGCGACCTGGGCGGTTTTGCTTCTAACCCCTTCATGTAAATTTTATGCGGGACATTTGCATAAACCTGCACATGAGAGCAACGATTAGCGATGACAATTAACGCGACTGATAAACAGGATGTTCACCAACACCACCAGCAAATAAAGCAAGCAAAACCAAAACAACGTCTTTCTACTTTGCTTCAGCTGTCTTCAACTCTGTCCATTTCCATTGCCACTTTCCTTCGCGTAATTGCATGTTTTCGAAATGCTCTACATCTTCATTCATCCCAGTTGCTTCCTCTTGAGTCTGACCAACGCACCCAATTAGGCTGGCTCGGTTGAAATTAGCAACCGCCCCTAAAAAATTCCTGTCGGTTACTTTTCGCCTGGCAATTAACGGCTACATCGGCCAGTTCAGTGGGTTCAGTTTACTCCCCCACGAACCCGATATGTGCCAGTCACCCTTCCAATCAGGCATTTCTATTCGATGGACCGATCGCATCACCATCATCACCACCACGTCTGTCTGTCTCTCTCTCGGTCGTACGCCAGGTGCGTGCTGGCTGTGGGAACCGAGCAAGAAGTCGGGTTCCCAGGCTCCTGGACACCTGCCACTGGTGACGAGGGGGGTGAGACGGCCGTCGGGGTGTCAACATGGTACCAATGACGGCAGCGACGCGCATGACTCACGTACGCCAGACGTGTGTACGGAACCACTTTGGGTTCTACCTGTTTTCTGGATCATCCACTCACAATGGAGCAGTTACTTCTGCTGGCGTCGTGCCATCGACATGCTTGAGTGCCAAACTGGTACCATGCTGGGTAGGACTAAGCGCTTTAATGATTCGCTTGGACTTAATCGGAGGCAATCACAACTTTGATCAAAATAAGTCAAATGCGGTTGGCGTAAATTGATCGCTTCCTGATCAAATGTTTCAAAAGTTCTCAAGGCTTCCAGAATGCAACAAAAATTTACGAACGAATCTATTTTCAATCTGGCGCTTTTTCGCCAATGTCGGCTCAATTAACCAACACAACTTTCGATCAACCCAATAAAGCAACAATAACATCGATTAAGGGGACACAAAACTTGAAAATTTTAGCATTGATTAAATCTCTTGTCCAGCAAACGCCTACAAAAAACATATCTACTTAGACCCAACATATACCGAGTCTGACTATGCAACCTCCATCATTTGCCATGATGAATCAATTCCCTAAATTGGCAATTACCGAATTGAAACTAATAAAATACCTACAGGGTTTTCCATTTAACAAAAAGAAACTTAGCTTTGCCATAGCTTTTTGACTGATTTGAAATTTTTCTTTGTGTAAATAGACTGAAAAGAACCTTTCAATTTTCATATTAATCATTCTGTTGAATCATATATCAACATCCAGGTTGATATGAAAAATATATCGGAACAGCCATGAAACGCATGTGATGGTGTCAGTAATATCTTGTTTTGATGGTTCATTTCATTGCAAGTGAAGCAATTTAATACGGCTGCGGTCATAAAACGAAATCTGGCAACAAGAGTAATAGGTGAGGCAATTAAGAATGCTCTTAAGTTGATACAAAGTAGCAACTGGAGTTAAGCTTGAGTGTTGAAGCGCTTTTTAGATTAATTTTGCTAATGAGCCGCTATAAGTTCCAAAGTAATTTGCATGATTATTCCTTCGGATGATGGGGGCTGTTTGGCAGAAAAACTATTGAAAATCGGCAAAACATTCAGCAGCATTTGATCATCGATACTGGTAGAAATTGACTACTTAGAAAACCGTGCTCAAAAACTCATTAGCCAGGCCTTGGATCTTGGCCTGTTTGAATTTGGATTATGAATGCACTTTGTTTGAAGCCATTAGGATTAGGCAAAGTACTAGTGGGATTTCATCACACAAACACGATTTTCGCTTCCAAATCACAGTTTCAAGCACAGGTTTGTGCAAAATTTGTTTTTGAAACGCCTGAAATAGGTACTTTATTTTCACCACAAAAAGAGGAATTTAACGAGCTCAAGACAGGACAATCTAGATTCTTCTGAGCCAAAGTACTCCATTTATCAATCAATCAAACCTCACATAGAATCACTATAAATCATTCAAACTTTTCTTCTCCTTTTGTAGAATTGTTATTCCGTAGGTACATTTTTGAAGAAAACCTTGATCTGCAAAGTTCATAAATTGTTATTGTGTAAAAACCGTTTATTTTTACTGAAAACGGGCCGATCATCAATTACTTTTGGCACGTAAAACCCGCTAATTCCACTGATTGGCCGGGAACAAAGCACGACGATTGGTACGTTCACAAAATAGCATATATTGAAGGTACATTTTGTGCAATTATCTGAAGTTTTTTTGCCCGATACCCAATGGGTAATTCTCGATAATTAGATCTGGTTTTTGTTTTGGGTCCTCGTGACTTACGCCTCCCAGTAAATGTTCCTGCCAAGGTACCCAATGAACTCTGCGCTCGCTTGTATTATTAACGAAATAAACAGATGCGAACGATGCAACACTAAATAAAGACCCTTAAGGCGAATAACGCAATCCCAGACAGCATCATAATCACTCAGCCTTTTGAAATGTTGAGTTATTTTTTTTGTGAAGGCATTCAGCGCCAAGCCACCGTCCCTAAAGGGCGAATAGGGGGTGATTTTTTCTCATTTCACATTGAAATTTACGGGCGCATAAAAACCAAAACCGTTCACCGTCGAGAGTGGTTCCCACATAATAACAAAACATATTAACCTGTCGTGGGGGTTTCACTTTTTTCCCCGATTGATACTGTGACACCTGTGTGCTTAACCGAACCAAGAGGGGAACCAAATTTGTAAGCGACGAAAAAATAATTTCCAGACTAACACTGCTTTGTATAAATCTGTCAGAATTGATCGTCTCTCCCCTACAAAGCGTTTCTATTCAGATTTTGTTACTGCATGCATAAGGAGCCATATATTATGGGGAAGTTTTTCTATAGCTTTGTTATGGGGGTTTCTATAGGATTTGGGATAGCCGTAATTATTTTTTTAATTCGTTTTCGTTTTTTCAATCGGTTTTGGTAACTGGTTTTATGTTGGCTGTGCCACAATAAAAAAGAGTTTTATTAGGCTTTTTTGTTTGGGTATTTATGGGCTGCGGGCTGTTTTTTTCTAGGTAAATTGGGGCCATTAGTTTGTCGTTTTTGCGTTGCAACGTGGGTCTATTACTAGCGGAAGGAAAAAATTGATGAATAAACCGCAATAATTCAATCATGGTTGGACAATGCGGTAACGAAATCGTCTGCATACAGGTAATCATTTTCAAGTCGGTGCAATTTAAAAACTGAATTTAACTTTTCCCAGATGGTGTGATCAAAGCCAAATTCCCCTTCGTCAATCACGCGGTTTTCTCCATTGACGCCATCGCAAAATCGTTTATCATCAATGACTGGCTTAATGGCCCAGATTGATTAAATTGAGTCGGTTCATAACGATGAACTGATAATTAACTTTTTTTCGCTGCCATTTTTCAGAACTTTATAATATTTATTATGAGTTGATTAAATTAAAGAACAAAACTTAATACGATTTTTTTTCGAGCTACCACAACGAAGATGATTATTATGTTGCAAAATCAAAATGTAACGGGCTTGATTAACTTGTCAAGGAAGCGCGTCGAGGGTTTGGAGAAAGCTGCTCGGCTCAGACTGATTTAGCAAGTCAGTCCCAAGTCGATTACTTCTGTATTTTAATATGTAAATTTCCATGTAATTTTCATTTACGGCCGCGATAACTCGGAGGGTTTATGCTTTGCTGGGGCCTATAACCCAACCGAATATTGCGAGTTAAAAATGTATCCGAGGAGGAGCAATGCGGGCCTGATTTTTCGATTAAAAACATTAAACTCTTCGGCACAGAGCACCTGTTCAATTTTCCCACGATATCTTGCAGACTGAGGATGGAAGGTGGCGCTTCGCGTATTTAATTATTGGCAGTCACGAGAATATTAATTAAGCTCAGCTCAATCACTCGCCTAATTTGTTAATTAGTGTCAAAGTTTTGCAACGGGCTAATTAAGCAGGCCAGACCAAAATAAATCGATAATATATTTTCCTTCTATAATATCTCTCGAAGACAACAGCTGCAATGTGCAGTTTTCTAGATTTGTTGCTTTGCCCGGCAATTTGTTTGCACGCTGTGTATGTTACACGCAACTAAAGTATCAGGAATTTGGTTTTGCTAAGTTTTATAGACAAAGTTGGACTACAAAGCAAACTTACTATTAGGATGGTTATTCTTTTTTGAAGCCCTGAAGAAAACGCCAAATAAATGTCTTCGGGAAAGTTCAAACTGGCACTTTAATGTTCCGACTGACAGCGGGCGTTTCGTAGGTAACCATTGCTCACTGACAGCAAACGTCAGACAGGAGTCAGAAAATGTCCGGGTGAAAAAGTCCGGTTTTCTTGGTGAATACTTCAATAGCGGACGGGAAAATGTGACGAAACGATTCCCGGGGGTTTTCGTGTAAAGAAAATTAACGGTGTTTCGCCCAAAAATGAAAAAATCCGGCAATTATCCGAAATCTTAATGGAGCGAACCGAGGCACTTGCGTTGCACTAACACACTAATTTTGACACATCAGAATTGACGGGCATTTGAATTTGACTGTTGCTCAGTCGGTAGACATAAGTATGCGGTATTGGACGTATAAACGTGGGTGACATTTGATTTAAATGACTGATTTTTTTATTAATTCGAAAAAGTCTGTAAAAAAGAGAAAGTGATTGGACAGAAAAATTAAAAATCATGAATCAAATGGGAAAAATCAGGGAATTAAAAGCAGCGAGCATGCGAAGTACCAGGCACTTTTGAGTTAATTTGCAAATTGCGGATTAATTTCATATTCTCAACATTCAATGCCAAGTTTCTACAATCTGCTTGTATTCCCATGGAAAATTCCCTTTGGAACTAGAAGAATCGACGGTTTTGTTGCGACACAATGCCCGATTATGGTAATGGAAATTTCTTCCCACGGATTACGCAATCCCCTAGAACGTCCATGCCTTACAACCCCCCCAAAGTGACCACCCTCTTCACTTCCTTGTTAAACTTAAGACGATGACGCAACCCGAGGTGTCTCGATCTTAAGAAGTTGACGAAGGGGACCCGGCACGTCGTGGCTCCAGCAACGGTCGTTGAGAAGAACCGTGAGAAAACCAGGCAGGTGTTTGGTAATCACTTTTTCTTCGGTCCGCACAATTAAGCTACCGTATTACGATGTTTTACTTTTTTATTATCTTCTAAATCTCGCTGATTATAATATTTAAAAAAGTTGTTAGCTTGTTTCTCGCTTTTTTCCTTTTGTGGACTGATCCAATGGTTATTAGCTTTATCTCTCGGTTTGGGCACGATGGCTCGCTCTGTTTTCAACTGATTACTAATGGTTGTTTTTCAGAGTTCGGACTGGCTTAGATCATTATGGCCGAGTGTTGAATTTGCTTCCATTGCTGCAGAAGGCCTTTGCATGTTCAAAGAGTTGGACGAAAATAAGACGCAATAATCTTGGAAACTGGGCGCCACAACTACATCTTTTGGATGTCGACTTCAACAACCAGCGGTGGTTCTTGAATAAGTGCACTACCAAGTTTCGATTTTGCCAATTAGAATGACTGTTAAAAGGCAATTAAATTCTCAACGGTTTCTACTAACATTTCTTCCAGGTTCTAGAAAATTGTGCACCTTCAAAGTATTCAACCACACATCGCCGCTGATGCAAAGCTTCAATAACCACCCTGTATAGCAAGCGAAGATTGCGCCAATTTTTTCCGTCGCTGAGCGCCTAACAGTGGAATTAAATTAAAAATGATGTGCTTGGCTGTTGATTCAATAAATCAATGTTCTGCTTTCCAAAATGGATTACCGGCGGCAAATTAAAAAGGCAGGTAGCCGCCTCCGTTTTCTGATAAGTTAATCAATAAACATATTTTTCTTGTCACCGATAACTCATTCGCATGTTATTAATTGAATTTCAGAACGCAGATTATATGGTTGATCCGAGTTATTCGCATCAGCACTAGATTGCAATCGATGTTGTTGCTTTCCTTTTTAGGCGGTTACCATTAATTATTCTTTTAAAGGAACCATGGCATGAATCACATCAGGTCGAACCTGGCTGCAATTTAAACAAATAAACACTCACTTTACAGTGGAAATTACAGTAGCTTTTGCTGAAAATTCCTCCAAAGGCCTAATTACTAGCAAATCAACACTTCCACTAGCACCACTTTCACACAACTGCCGTATCCTTTACGCGCACATCCACTGAA